GGTTGTATGTGTCACACCCTGTGTGCAGAATTATGAATGTGGATAAATCCATTCTTATAGTCTACCTTAATGTTTTTGCTTCCTAGCATTCTGTCTCTAATAATTACATGCCACTTACAGTGCATCTGCTTATCAAAGTATAGCAGTCCCCTCATTATTATATCTCAGCAGATGTCTGTGCACAAAATGAATATGTTGACACGAACACAGAAGGCTTAAAATGGAAATTATATAGTAATTGCCCTTAAATACTTGCGACTTTTGCCTTAGATATGTAGGTATTGTTACATAGGAATGAAGGAAGTGCTAGAGAAACTGCAAATACTGGCAGCAAGCAATATAGTTGACAACGATAATCAGCAATTGGTAAAGGTGACCACAGAACAATGAAATCTACTTCACTGGCAACTGGAAGATTTTTCCTTGTAGTTTTCAGTACCCTTTTTTTTAGATGATGATTAAACAGACTGAGGCCTCATTAACTCTGCTTTCTTAGATGGAAGGTCACTTGCTGGACTGTTCTGTGGCACTGACGTTTGGAGCGAGTGTGACAGGATCCTACAGATGCAGAAGCCCCGACCTTGCACAATTCCTGTCTCCTCTCCCATGCCTTCAAATACCTTATATCCTGCTCCCACCGTATTGAAGTCCCCATGGGTACTTAAATCTTCCGTTGAGAAGGTAGTGGCAGAAGGTATTCAGACGAGCTGCTATGTTGCTTCTGTCTACAGGGAACTGTTAAAAAGTCAAAAGGTGAACTCCTGCAACTCCATGGCATGAACAGAAAGGGCTTGGGATGTTTCCTGCCCTGAATGGAGACCGATCAGGAGAGGGGCATCTCCAACCATGACTGAAGTGAATGTAAGGATGTGGGGGCGAGCTGCACAGGAACGGTGGCTAACTCACTGAGCATGTGCGAGAGAAGGATTTACCGTTACAATTACAGACACGGGCACGTTATGTTAAACACAGGTTCTCTCTTGGGGTACCGTCTGCTGTGCTACATCGATGGTCCCTCCACACACATGGTGCCCACCCTCACAGACAGGTAGGCGCACGATCGCACGGGAGCGGTCTCTTCCATCGTTTTGTCCGAGGGTCTCTGTGTGGCTGACCTGTGGGTAACTGGGGTCACGTTGCCGCAATGTGCTTAGTGCTGTAGCGACGGCATTTCGAAGTACAGCTCTGCCAGGCTGGGAGGACATTCCATTCACACGTCTGAGATTGGTTCTGTGGTACTTGGGTCAGCTTCTTCATTTCACATTGGTTAGATCTGTTTACCGACGGGGGGCCAAAAGGGACAGTTGCCCCAGGACTCCTAGCCACTGGAGCACGGCACAGTGCACTCCTGGCAGCTCTCAGGGGTTACGGCGGTCTGGGCAGCGCTGAGGGCTGGCTGCCCCAAACCCCGCCCTTTCTGCCTGATGTCCCACCCTGTCCAGGAGTGGAGAGCTGGCCCTCCCCCCACCTTGCTAGGGGGCCCAGCGAAGCTGCCGGCTTCCCTGAGCTTCTTCCCACTGGGATGGAAAACCTTGTTTGAAAGGATTTTTGTGTGCCTCTCTGTACTAGTGTCAGGGCTAGGTCTTTGCATAGAAATCATCAGAGACTTTTGAAATGGTTCAGGGGTGGAAAAACACGGTTAATTTCAACATAGCCTACACTTGCTCCTGCCATGAATGCAAAGGGCTGCACTAGGTGACCTCTCAAAGTCCCATCCAACCCTGGATTCTATAGGCAGATGTACATGTATTTAAAGTAACCCAAAATGTGGCTCTGTGACAGATCTGACTAAGAACTCTGCCAGAATAATACTAAATACAATTCTCTCACTCGAGCCCTTGGAGGTTTTGGTCAAACTCTGAGGTAAAAAGCTGCTGGAACATCTCACGGTGTTGATAAGGTCAAGGAACTGTTACATTACTAAGTAAATTGTTGCAGATCTGGACTGGAACTGTTTGAAAGGAATCCGAACTCCATCCTATCCAATGAACTGTGTGAGCGTGGACCTGCATAGCCATCAAGTGCACAGAATCAGAATGATAGGGTGTATAATAAATTACAGCTTGGACAGGAACAAGGGAACCAGCTAGGCCCTTCACATTGCTTCATCCATGAGGGCTAGAAGCTTTTGTTTTGTTCTTTGTTTTTTAATGGAAACTGAGATTCTTACAAAACCACAGGATTCCAGGAATTCGGAGGCATAAAGGAAAAACACCAAATATCACAAGACTCATGATAAAATAGTGAGAACTGGCAAGCCAGCAAACCATTTGTAGTAATGTGGGCTAAAACCACTCTCGGATTACACATAACAAGAGCAGAATGTACCTACCACAATATATTGACACACACAGTGGACAGACTTGAAATTCACATTCCAGTTGTGGAGTGGTTGGGCCACTGAACGTGGTTTTCTATAGAAAGTTGGGTTTTCAGCTAAACATAATTTTATTTATGAAATAAGTGGAGGGTGGGCGGGGGGGTCAGAAAATTGAATATTCATAGAAGAATGAAAACCCAGTTTTTGGTTGGAAACGGAAACTTTTGGAATAAATAACAATAATAAATATATGAAATGTTCAGTTTTTCAATGAAAAGTTGACATTTTCTGTAGGAAAACCCTCCCCTCATTTTCCAACCTGCTCTTATACTGCTACTATCAATATTCCTAATTCCACATATGTGGAGTGTTGGGAGAACATTGCTAAAAGTGCTGTAAAACTGGGCTGAGTTTATTAAGCATGTTCACTCGGTTTCTTTAGCAGGAAAAACCATATGAGGTGAATGAAGTAAGTATTCCTCAGACTCAGAAACTGAGTATCTAGAAATCATTGTTATTGCCAAATACCCTAAGTCTAAGCTCAGCAGGGCTTCCCATAGGTCAATCACAGAACTTCAGAAAACTACTATATAACTTCCAGTGACTCCATAGATTAGGCCATTCTCCCATGAAACACTCCGTAACGAAGAAAAAGTCTTGGGGTGAAAGAATTTCATCTGTCTTGTTCAGTAAGGGTTGGCTTTCTACCATACAGAGCTGGACACATTATCTACACTTTTTTTGCTAGTAATATTTAATAGAATGTGAATAGAATCCACAGAGATGTTTTTTTACTTGCCTTGTAATTCTGCTTCTCTGAAGTGATCGATTTGCAAGATTCTCCAGTACTCACCTCCCATACCTCCTCAGAGGCTGGAGAAGATTCTGTCTGAGGTAGTGCTGCTCTTTACATCATTGTTCTGCCTACCGAGACACGGGCTTTTTGACCACTTTTGTTGGGATTGGCTTATTTTTTTACTTTACTTTATTATCATTTCCCACTAAATAGGGGCCTGATTTGAAGGTGAAAAGAGCAGCACTTTGGGTGGGAAATGACCTCTAGTGGTAGGGAGAGAATAATCTTGGAGTGTTTTAATTGTCTCATGGGGGGGAATAGAGGGCAGGAGCGAGACGCCCATGCAATACATCATCTTTGGAAAGGCAGTCTCACAAGGAACGTAAGTCGGTAGTTCTGTTGTGTGTCCATTGATCTCTACACACCTCTATGCTTTGACTCACTTTGTTTTACTATGTAGGGCGTGACAAAGCCAGACCAGAAGGCTACAGGAGAGTGGTGGAGGAGAAATATATTAGCACCAGATTAAATAGGTCTCTATTCCCTGGGTAGACTAACAGGAGCTGATCCAGAACCAACAGGAGCCAGCTAGAACTAGTCAGAGCAGTAAGGCCAATTAAGAGACCTGGAATCAATTAGGAGGGCTTCCAGACTCAAGGGAGCCGGATTAATCAGAATACCTGGGGGCCAATTAAGAGCTAGTTGAGGCTGATTTTTAAAAGGCTTCCCTTCTTTTGTTTGCTCAGTGTGTGAGGAAGGAGCAGATGAGAAAAAGTGTGGTGGAGAGTCTGGGAGTAGAAGGTGCAAGCAGGTACCAGGAGGAAAAACCTGCGGTAAGGAAGATGCTGGGGAAGACTGTGGGGAAGTGGCCCAGGGTTTTGTAGCTGGCACGCAGCTGTTACCAGAGCCATTTCAGACAGCTGTTATCACAGTGTCCCTGGGCTGGAACCTCCCCTCTCACTCTCCCAATCAACTTCCCATTTCAGCTTGGTTTTGGTAAAGGGTTTGTCCTGCTCTGCATCACTTGGAGGAGCCACTGAGATTATGAAGTTTGGTTTCCCCTCTTTTCCCCAGACTGGCTTAGGAGGAGATTAGCTCAACAAACAGCCAGCTGTGTCTAAATTAAGGGTTGCTGGGAGCATCTGAGGCAGGTAATCCCCCTGAAAGCTCAGGACCCACCAAGGTGAAGGAGGAATTTTGTCACAAGGGCAAGAAAGAAAATTAATTCATACCTCATTTTACTACAGTGGTAGCAAGGTTAGTGGCAAGCAAGTGTTCATATGAGAGCTGTATCTGGTGGGGCATTTCAGGCAGCCTACGTAATGGAGAACTCGAGCGGTCCAAACCCTGCTGTGAAGGGATTATCCAGGGGGTAGCTGGGTCAGGGGACTTACAATTAACAACCAATGGCTGGGAGTTCCCAAGAACGATTCATAGCTGAGAGGTTACAGAAAAGCAAGCAAGTTGTAAGTTGTTGTCCATTAAGCAGGAGTCTTGGCACATACTCTTTCCAGGAATGTGTGATTGGAGGGATGGGGGCGTGGCAAGAAAAAAAAAAGAAAGAAAAAAATGGTTCGTAACTTTTCCTGGAAGTAGAAATGAGTTCTCTGTCAGATATAATTAATCTCAAAACATCCAATTATGTTGTCATTTACAGGAAAACAATCATATGTGCATGGTTTCATATAGTTTGTAACTAGACAATATTAATCTTTTGTCTTCAACATGAAATATTTATATTAATTTTCAGTAACGTGGTTAGGGAAACATTTCTTTGTTAAATATGTAGGCTAGTACATTAAAATGATACTCTACGAGAGAAAATAGTGTAAACGGTCATGGGGTATGTATGTGGGTGGGTTTACGTACTTTTCCTGTGTTACTATTTGAAAAGTATTTAAATAACTGATCTTGAAAAACTTAGGAGAAACAATTACTTATTGTCAGTTCCATGGATGTGCTCTGTGTTTCTTTCCCATTCTTCAGTTATAAATGTTTCATATCAACAAGACTTGTGTGGCTTAAAAGTTTGCTACCTTGTGCTTCCTCCTCCCTAGTCTGATGTCATTAACTTTGGTTTATGACATCACTTATAGTTGCTATTGAGATGCTAGTGATATGTCCAAATTATTGCATCCCCTGTGAAATAAACAGTTGATGCTTAGAGAATATCTTGTTTCTGGGCAAATCCTCTTCGTAAATCTAAAAAATGGAAGGAAAAAAACTGTTTGTCCCCCATGGGACAGCAGTGGATCTTTAATGAGTAAAACATGTTACTTGTAAGAGTCTGTAACTTATAGAAAAACACGCAAAGTTCTTTAGAGGTTCTTTTTTCCTTGCTGTTGGATGACTCTGCTCGTGTCCCAGTTTGACGAGCAGGGTTAGGAGTGTCCAATGGGGAATGTGCTAAAATGGACCTTGAAACCTGGGCTCTGTTCCCTGCCCTCCCAAACTTTCTGTGTGCTCTTGGGCAAGGTCTCAGTAAAATGGGGATACTAGTGTTTCCATAGCTCAGGGATGGCGAGGCACATAAATGGAATCCTAGAAATAGAAGACTGTGAGGCCCTCGGTAATGTACTTTGATCTTTGCTATCTCCTGTCCAGTTTTGGTGCCTACAGTTCAGGATAGGTGTTGCTAAATTGGAGAAAGTTCAGAGCAGAACCGTTAGAAAACTTGCCTGATGGAGTTCGTTTGAATCTAGCACTATCTGTTAAGCCTAACAAAAAGGGGTGACTTTTTAAGTATCTACTTGGAGAGCAAATGTTTAATGATGGGCTCGTCAGTCTAGCAGAGAGGTGTTTCATGTGATCCCATGGCTGGAAGTCGAAGTCAGACAATTTCAGACTGGAAATAGGGTGTACCTTTTTAATGGTGAGGGTAATTAAGCATTGGGACAAATAACCAGGGGTCACTGACAGTTGGCTATTTTCTAAAAGATCTGCTCTAGGAATTATTTTGCAGACAGTTGTACACTGAAGTCATATGGGAGGTCAGACTATATGAACACGAAGGTCCCTTCTGCTCTGACTCTTTGAACTCCATGTTTTATGGCTTTTATTTTGTGCCTCCGCACTTGTTAGCTGATATTTTTTCCATCGCTGTAGCAATTTAATTTAGTTACCTAAAATAGTTAAAGCCAAAATGTTTCCAGACAGCAAATCAGAGCAAGTTCAATTCAGCAGCCC